CTCGGATGCAGTCTCTACGGAGCCAGTCGACAGATCGAACAAGCCGTCGAGAGTTTCGTCGGGCTTGATTGCCGTGACTTGAGGGGTGGCCGACTGGCGGGCCACCGCAAGCCTCACCCACCGCTGAAGCCTCGACCGACCGGAACGTTTGCTCCGGTGGGCCGTAGGGAGGGGGAAAGCTGCTGGAGCCGACTGATACTGGGTCGACGGCTACCGCAGGAGGACACCACGGACGCACGCGCGAAATTGCGTCGCCCCGCGGACGGGGAGCGCGTCGACATCGAGTGGAGCCTCCTGAAGCCAAGCGGAGTCGTCGGCGATAAACACGAGCGCGCTGAGATCTCGCGGCCCTCAGCCAAACCTCTGCCTGAGACCATGATGAAGGGGACCGGAAAAATTGCAACTTCTCCAAAAAATCGCTAAGACACCTGCCCCACCACTACAAGAAATATGTCAACTGGTGACCTTCTGTCAGTGACCCTGGAAGAAATGATCATAGATCTATGACCATTTCAGACCAATTGGTCAAAAGCTGTTCGGGGGGCTCCAAACCCTAAACCATTGCGACCATTTTGGTCAGAAAGGTCGTAATTTCCTTACATGAAATGGTCATAAAGCAAACAGCGCTAGTCCGCTGCCTTAGTTCTAGTTTTTAACGACCAATATAGATGGTCATAGCCTTGTAAAATGTGGTGGGTTGCTATGACTAGGCGCCACCTCATTAGTTTTGCCTATGTGTCATGTCCATGTGGCAGTTTTTGCCCTAGGTTGTGAACCAACCTATATTTCTATCATTCCCAAAATTCCCAAAAAAATCTCATAAATTCTTTGGGTCATATCTTCGTCAAATATGTAAAAACCTTCCTTGCCTAGTTCAAAAATAATTCAAAAATATTCATTTTCCTATTTTGTTTAGAACAACAGTTTGTGAAGGAAGTACCACTTTGGCATGTCCAAATAGTATCCATTTTCTACAGTGCTTTCCTATGCCCAAATAACCATCCTCCACCAAATGCCAGCTCAATCTATTCATTATTTTGAGCCGAGCTTAAACATTCGTATTTATGTCCAGTGTGGTAGTTTGCAAAGCAAGTACCACCTAGGATCCTCCTTTTGAGCTGAAAATTTGTGAAGATGGTCTTCTTAGTAGCTGATCATCCTCAGCCAAAACTCACGCCCATTAGCCATGTACATTTCCCGTACCGCTAATCAAACACTTGGCTGCTAATTCATGTTTGAGCATCGATCAGTCTCCTCGTGAGAATCTTATGTTGTAATTTTCTTCCTAGCACCTACCTGGGGAGTGCCCAACCTACTAGGCATGCCTAGGCTGCCCCGAACACATGGCAACGCCACGGTCACGCGGTGACCACGCGGCAGGCATGCGAGCTTACGCTCTCTAGAGTTGGGGGCCTCGGCCACCGCCCAAACCTCAACGTATCGCCACCAAAACCATGTATTTATGATTAAATAGGTACTTATGTAACTATAAATGATTTTTGGAAAAAAATAGTAAACTATGAGGCAGCTGCAGTTCAAATTTGACCCGCTTCCTGCTGAATCAGCGGGAATTTGTCTTTTTCACTAGAAGTGGATCAAAACTTTTTACACCCAACCATTTTTGTCAATTGTGCATTAAATATGTCCAAGTATTTATAAAATTGATTTGGGCCAATTTTGCAACAATTATTTGGGAGGTCCTTCACAAAAAAACCTCCTTTTGGGCACTCGAAAAATGGAAAATGGTTTTTTCATCCAAAGAAAATGAAAACTTCCTTAGGAAATATTGTTTGACATTCCAAGATGCAGCCTTGTGCACAATATGAGATCATTTGAACAAACTATGCCATGAATGTGGCCATAGGATTGATCATTTGGCTTGAAAGCCATGAATCTTCACGCATGATAGCTCATTTCTGAGAACACTTTTTTAAAAGGATTGCCGTATTACAAGTTTATTTTTTTTCCTGGTAACTTGGTCATATATAATGACACAACGCAAAGGTTTTCCAATTTTTTGATTTTTTTGAATTTTTTATGCCCGTTTCAAAATGTGCTCAAAACAGCGGGAATAACCGTTCCTAGCTAGTGGTTGAATCTTGGAATTTTTTTGGTGTTTCTCTGATTAAATAGATACTTATGTACCTAGAAATGATTTTCGTAAAAAATAAAGAGCAAACTACAATGCAGCTACAGTTCAAATTTGACCCACTTCCAACAGGATCGTCAGAAATTTGTCTTTTTCACGAGAGGTGGATCAAAACTTTTTACACCCAACCATTTGGTCAATTGTGCATTAAATATGGCCTAGTATTTTATAAAAATGATTTGGTCCAATTTTGCAATAATTATTTGGGAGGTCCTTCACAAAAAAACCTCATTTTGGGCACTCGAAAAATGGAAAATGGTTTTTTTGCCAAAGAAAATGAAAACTTCCTTAGGCAACATTTTTTGCCATTCCAATATGCACCCTTGTGCACAATATGAGATCATTTGAATAAACTATGCCATGAATTTGGCCATAGGATTGATCATTTGGCTTGAAAGCCATGAATCTTCACACATGATAGCTCATTTATGAGAACACTTTTTTTAAAAGAATTGCCGTATTACAAATTTATTATTTTCCCTGGTAACTTGGTCATATATAATGACACAATGCGAAGGTTTTCCAATTTTTTGACTTTTTTTGAATGTTTTATGCCTGTTTCAAAATGCGGTCAAAACGGCGGGAATGACCGTTCCTAGCTAGTGGTTGAATCTTGGAATTTTTTTGGTGTTTCTCTGATTAAATAGATACTTATGTACCTAGAAATGATTTTTGTAAAAAATAAAGAGGAAACTACAAGGCAGCTACAGTTCAAATTTGACCCACTTCCACCTGAATCGTCAGAAATTTGTCTTTTTCACGAGAGGTGGATCAAAACTTTTTACACCCAACCATTTGGTCAATTGTGCATTAAATATGGCCTAGTATTTTATAAAAATGATTTGGTCCAATTTTTCAATAATTATTTGGGAGGTCCTTCACAAAAAAACCTCATTTTGGGCACTCGAAAAATGGAAAATGGTTTTTTGCCAAAGAAAATGAAAACTTCCTTAGGAAACATTGTTTGCCATTCCAATATGCACCCTTGTGCACAATATGAGATCATTTGAATAAACTATGCCATGAATTTGGCCATAGGATTGATCATTTGGCTTGAAAGCCATGAATCTTCACGCATGATAACTCATTTATGAGAACACTTTTTTAAAAGAATTGTCGTATTAAAAATTTATTATTTTTCCTGGTAACTTGGTCATATATAATGACACAATGCGAAGGTTTTCCAATTTTTTGATTTTTTTTTAATTTTTATGCCTGTTTCAAAATGCGGTCAAAACGGCGGGAATGGTCGTTCCTAGCTAGTGGTTGAATCTTGGAAAACTTTTGGTGTTTCTCTGGTTAAATGGATACTTATGTACCTATAAATAATTTTTAGGAAAAATATAGAGCAAACTATGAGGCAGCTGCAGTTCAAATTTGACCCACTTCCAACTGAATCAGCGTAAATTTGTCTTTTTCACGAGAGGTGGATCAAAACTTTTGACACCCAACCATTTGGTCAATTGTGCATTAAACATGGCCTAGTATTTTATAAAATTGATTTGGTCCAATGAAGCAACAAATATATGGTAGGTCCTTCACAAAAAAACCTCATTTCGGGCACTCGAAAAATGAAAAATGAATTTTTTGTCCAAAGAAAATGAAAAATCTCTTAGTCAACATTGTTTGGACGTCCAAGATGCACCATTGTGCATAATATGAGATCATTTGAACAAACTATGCCATTTTAAAAAAAAATTACGCCCGTTTCAAAATGCGGTCAAAACGACGGGCTTGACCATTCCTAGCTAGTTGTTGAATCTTGGAAACGTTTTGATGTTTCTCTGATTAAATAGATAGTTATGTACCTAGAAATGATTTTTGGAAAAAATAAAGAGCAAACTATGAGCCAGCTGCAGTTCAAATTTGACCCGCTTCCTGCTGAATCGATGGAAATTTGTCTTTTTCATCAGAGGTGGGTAAAAGATTTTGACGCCCAATGTTTGGTCAATTATACATTAAATATGGACTAATATTTTAGAAAAATGATTTAGTGCCATTTTGCAACAAATGTATGGTAGTTCCTTTACAAAAAAACACATTTTGGTCACTCAGTAAATGAAAAATGGTTCTTTTGAGCAAAGAAAATGAAAACCTCCCAAATCAACATTGTTTGCCATGCCTAAATACACACATGTACAAAATATTGGTTTATTTAAACTAACTATAAGAGGTTAAATGTTTTCCTGAATAAGAGGGTACAAACTATAAGAGAAAAAAACAAAAAATGCTTAATTCTGATTGGTGGAACCAGCTATGGCATGGATGAGTGACATGGCAAACATCTGTCCATCCATCCATCCGTCCGTCCATCCACCCCTCCGCTCTCTCAGCTAACCTGATCCACCCCTCTCTCTCGCATAGCTAACCCTAGCGATCCACCTCTCCCCTCCCCTCCCCTCCCCTCGCGCAGTCGCCACCCACCTCTTCCTGTCTCGATTCCCACCCACATCACCGCCGCCGCTGCCGCCGGCCTACGCCATCCCTCACACTGCCGCCCTGAAACCCCCTCCTCACCTTCTCTCCCCGGTCGAGCCGTAGCAGGTGAGGCAGAGGCGGCAGCCAAATCCGCCGTGTTGCTTCCGGATTCGCGCCCTCCCCACCACCGGTTCATCTCCAATCCCTCCACCGACACCCACCCCCACCCCCACATGCGACCTCCCCTAACCCCATCACCACCGGTGACCTCCCTCCCTTGCTCCTCAACCCAACCCAATCCCGATTCGATTCAGTTCAGAGACGAATCCCCTCCTACATCGCCGCTGCGGCCACACACTGCCAATCCCCTCACTCCACCACGCCTTCTTCTTGTCCTTATTCCCGGACGGGCGTCGACACGGCCAGCGTCAAGATGTCCATGAACCCCTTCTGCGAGATTCCCATGGAGGAGGCGTTGCGGCTCTGCGAGGCCGGCGCCGCCTCCGAGGTCGTCGCCGCCACTGTCGGTCCCGCGCAGGCCGCCGACACGCTCCGCACCGCACTCGCCATGGGCGCCGACCGCGCCGTCCACGTCCTCCACGACCCCGACCCCGACCCCGCCCGCCCGCTCCTCCCGCTTGCCGTCGCCAAGATCATCTGTGCCCTCACGCTCCAGGAGACCCCCGGCCTCCTCATCCTCGACAAGCAGGTTCTCAGATCGGCCTCGATTCAGTCAGTTTTTTGCCTCATCTTTCATGGTGTCTAACTTGCTCCGCTTCCTGCCTGCGCGTGCAGAGTGCTCCCTCCAGGTGAAGTCGCCCACCGCAGTGCCAAGGGATTCGTCTCCGAGGACGAGTTCCTCTCCATCCCGGAGTTCTCCACCAACCGCTCTCCAAGGTCCGTCCCTCCCCCTCCCCCTCCCTCTCTCGTCGCCGAGACGGGCAATTTTGTTCCCCTGCTCGCTTTGTCCCCGTCGTGCCACCTCCAGATGACTCACTAACTGACTGTAGTACCATTGCGTACCTCTTGTTTTTATGTGCTGTCTTTGGATTAGACACACAACACTTGCCTCTACTACTATTTTCCTAGTGGTATTGTATACAGCTCTGTCCCCACTCAGTTTTTCCACTAATTGGGAAAAACTAATCCAGCATTATACCAATCACAGAACCTGTATGCAATCGATCGGCATAGGGAGTTTTACCATACATGTGGAACCTGAATATCTCTATGAAGCCAAGCACCTTCCACATCTGCTTGGAAAAAGCTCTGGTTATCTTTGAGTGGGTACGGACGGAGTCATAGTTTTCAAAGACTGATATAATGCTTTTTTGTCAAATACGTAACACTTATCATAGACCACAAAAATCTCCATATAGATCATTTCTACTGAAGATTTGCATCTCATTTTTCTTCCCCACTAAAACTTGGTGTATCTAATTTGTACATATAGTGTAGTTTTTCCAGCAAAACATGACCTCCCTTGCAAATAACATAGCCCTGTTGACTTTCTTTACTCAGTTTGACTGTTTTAGTTATATTTAGGAGATTTAGCAATGTCAACTATGGAGGTGAGACTGATTTTGAGCTTCCATTTATTCTATTTGCAGAGGTTGCTACGTATGGTTGATGGATTGAACTTCAAGGAATTTGTTTCTTTTCTCTCTACCTTCAGCGCAAGGGCCAGCCTTCAGCAAAAGATTGAGTGTAATGCTCATCACGTTTCTTTTCCTCTTTTTGCTGTCTATCTTGAAAGGAGTGTATGTTGGTTTGGGTCTCTCTGATCCTTATGATGACTACTAATTTGTTGGTCCGGTGTTGATCTGGTTTGTGTTTCATTGAGTAGTGATATTTAAGGTGTATGACATTGATGGCAAGGGGAAAGTATCCTTCAAGGACCTGGTAGAGATGTTACGAGACCTAACAGGCTCATCCATGTTAGAGAAACAAAGAGAGGTTCTGATTTGATCCAATCCTATATTTCATTGCATAGTACTACATTCACTTGCAAGTACACTTGATAAATCAACAAGAACAAATGTGGCTCTTTCCTTGTTTCCTTTTCAAATAATTAGTACCATGCCATCATAAACACATCAAGTGTGCATAACTTGTTTCCAAAGTGAAGGGAACCATGACACTAAATTGTAGGTTTCTTCATTGCAGTAAATGTTCAGAGTAGCATGCTTCGTAGTGCAAATTCCTATGTTGATATTTACTACTACCTCTGTTCGTAAATATAAGACTTTTATTTACGAACAGGGGAGCATTAGCTAGAAAATATAGCCTTGTGTGGAACCAATCCTTGTGTATCTAAGAGCTAAACAAACATGCCATACAAGGAAATGGAAGGCTTGTGTAGTTTCAACTGTTCGTTGCCAATGATTAATCATCTTGTTTGTTTTTTGGCTGCATCTGACATACATTCTTATGCCTGTTTACTCCAGGTCAGGCTCACATTTCATGGCTCAAAGGAAAACAAGCCTATGCTTGCACCAACATTATTAGAATGAGGTGTGGGCATGTATCATTTTTAAACTCTGTTATCTTTTCCCAAGTCTTTATTATCTTGCCTAGCCTTGTACTGATATGTATTGTTTGCTGCTAATTACCCAAGATAGTGTGTGATGTTAAGGACAACCTGAGAACACATGCCTAAGCTTATAAGATATGGCATGTGACAGTGTTGCTGCTATTTGAATGCTTCTACTGCTAGCTGCTTGCTTGAATAGGTGTGCACTTGTGCTGGTGGTGGTGCTGCTTGTGCTGCTAACAAAATTGAATATAATCATTCTTGTTGGATCGTGCAGACATGTATTTGCTGCTAATTCTTGTGCTGCTAACACATTCTTGTACTGCTCATTCTTGTGATGCTTAAGCTGTTGATTGCCTAATTTTATTCATCGTCTCCAGAATAAATTCATTTGATTGTCTGATACATCTCCACTTAAATACTCATAATGCTACTGTCTAGGTTTTGTACAATTGGGCTGACTATATATCTCTTGTTAAAATTGTGGTCTTGATCTTTTGTTTAAACCTGAGACATCATGCATAACTAGCTCTTCCTTTTCAGTCTAAACCTGAGACCTCTTTTGTTCTATATTCAGATCTGACTGATGGCCATAGTGTTGTTTTGTTGTGCTTGATAAACCTGAGACTTCTTTTTATTGTAATATTGAAGTTGTTTGGTTCTGGCCTTAGCAGCAGCACACTCTAATTTTGGTGGCTTTTATGTTCATTCTTTTACAGGAGCTCCAGGCCTATTTTTTGGAGTGTGAAGCCGTGAAGCCAAGTGTGAAGCGGTACTTAGCAAAGAGTTTTTGGTTCTATACTTAGCAAAGAGTTTTTGGTTCTGAAGTGTGAAGCCAAGTGTAAATTGTAATATTGTAAAAGTCTAATGTAGTGTTAATGAATTATATCTGTTCTGTCCTATTTGAAATAATGATTATGTATGTTGAAAAGATGTGAAATGGAAACTTGACAAGTGGGACCCAGTTATGAATATAATCTGAGCAATTTTGAAATTTATGACATGTGTGACTGATGTATGGCATTATGACTAGTGGGACCAGTGCCAAAATATAATTATTGAAATAGAAAATAAATGATTGTAAGAAGGCCAAGGCCAAAAATAAAGAAGCTGAAATATTGGGCTTGGCCCATGTAGCCCACAAGAATTAACTTGGAAAAAAGCTTGAATTGTTGGGCTAGGCCCATGTAGAAAATCGAATTGGACCGGGCTGATTCTTGTGCCACATCAGATTGCCACGTCGGATGCCTACGTGGCCTGGGGAGGCTGCTAGTGACCAAAACAAAACAATGGGCATATTTTGGTCATAAACGTCTACGACCTTCTCATAGAGAAGGTCGTTAATTTCAGTTTACGACCGCCAGCTTTTGACCTTCTGTTTTTGGTCACAAAAAGGTCGCAAATGAAAAACAATGACCTTTCAGTGACCAATAGTCAAGGTCACAAGTTGGCATATTTCTTGTAGAGCACGGTGGGCGCCAACTGTCATGGTTCTAAGCCTGACAGTAGAATAGGGGGTAGGAATGTAGAGGCAAGATCCTAGCTATGGAGGAGTTGTACACGCGAGTTTTACGAGTTCAGGCCCTTCTCGGAGGAAGTAACAGCCCTACGTCTCGAAGCCCGGAGGCGGTCGACTGGATATATGCGTGTGAATTACAAAAGGTGCGAACCCTTGTCCCAGAGGAGGGGAGTGGCTTATATAGAGTGCGCCAGGACCCCAGCTCTCCTCCGTTACACAGAGTTCAGTGTTCATAAAGGAGGAGCATTACTGGTAACGTCCGGAGTAAAGTGCTATAAATGACTATTAAAGCTATGACTTAAATCCCGACCGTTGCAGAGTGAGTGGCTTCACATCTTCTGGTGGTCGAATGGTTGTTCGCATGGTCGAGTGTCTTCAAGGCTGTCAAGTGGGACATAGCTTCATGGTCGAGTGGATGATGATCTCTCTTTGACTGCTTCTGGTTCTTTTAGAGATGTCCTTGGGGAGGGTATCTTGGACAGATCCATGACCCTACCCTAGGTACATAGCTTCGTCACCAGCCACCTGTGTGAAAGCACGTCGGTAGAACCAGTCTCATAAACACAGTCATGTAATCTCGGTCCGGGATGCTTCATCCAACAATACCATCGAATCAAAGTAAGACTTTGGTGGTAAGCAGTATGACTATCATCGCCCACAACTCTTTGTGTCCAACTCATGCATATCACCTACGCATAGACCTTGCTCGGATGCGACTGTTGGGGATTGTAGCATGCAATTGCAAAAAAATTCCTACAATCACGCAAGATCTATCTAGGAGATGCATAGCAACGATACGGGGAGAGTGTGTCCACGTACCCTTTAGACCGAAAATGGAAGCATTAGGTTAACGCGTTTGATGTAGTTGAACGTCTTCACGATCCGACCGATCCATGTACGGGACGTACGGCACCTCTGTGTTCAGCACACGTTCAGCTTGATGACGTCTGTCGATGTCAAAACTGGCGGATCTCGGGTAGGGGGTCCCAAACTGTGCGTCTAGGCCAGATGGTAACAGGAGGCAGGGGACACGATGTTTTACCCAGGTTCGGGCCCTCTTGATGAAGGTAAAACCCTACGTCCTGCTTGATTGATATTGATGATATGGGTACTACAAGAGTAGATCTACCACGAGATCAGAGAGGCTAAACCCTAGAAGCTAGCCTATGGTATGATGGTTGTTCATCCTACGGACTAAAACTCTCCGGTTTATATAGACATCGGAGAGGGCTAGGGTTACACAAAGTCGGTTACAATGGTAGGAGATCTATATATCCGTATCGCCAAGCTTGCCTTCCACGCCAAGGAAAGTCCCTTCCGGACACGGGACGAAGTCTTCCATCTTGTATCTTCATAGTCCAGGAGTCCGGTTGAAGTTATAGTCCAGCTATCCGGACACCCCCTAATCCAGGACTCCCTCAGTAGCCCCCGAACCAGGCTTCAATGACAACGAGTCCGGCGCGCAAATTGTCTTCGGCATTGCAAGGCGGGTTCTTCTCCAAATTCCGTGTACCTGTTGAACAGTGTCCGGTTTCTTGTAAATGTAGTGCTCCTTGGCTTCTACGCCCAATAATGGCCATTTTCCATGTGTCAAACGAATACGAAAAGTCAGGGTGTTTTTTATATTTACACCCCTAGCCACGTGAATGAGCCGCCTATTTAAGGGGACGAGGATTTAGATCCAAACCACACCTTCTCCCTTCCGTGAGTATTCATCAGAGCGTATCCGACAGAGGTCCATTCCATCATGGTCGGCCGCCG